ACATCCCTAAACCTAGGATAGACCTATACAAAACCAGTTGAACGTACTGTGCAGCTCAATTGTGGAACTATCTGCCACAGCAAATCCAAAATACCACTACTCCCCATACATACAATTGGAAACTGTCCGAATATTATGTGAGCACAGATTACATGCCCCCATAGAAGATAAAAAATATTTTTGAAATGGTGCACATCTTACCAAGATCTATTAAAACTACTATGGTTTACGGTAGTTAGAAATGTGCACATTCCAGTGCTTATATTGAATATTCTTGATGCTATTGATAATGTTTATTATTACGTGTTGTATTAATGAAATGATGTAAGAACGGATGGAGGCCTCGAAGGGCAGAATGTTGGACAGGCCTGCTGGCTCAATTCTTAACCCTTTAAAAAAAGATAGTTTATTCATTCCTATATTTTATATTGACATTTGACCCATTTACTGGCTCTTCTATACTTTATATTGACATTTGATTCATTTACTGGCTCTTCTATACTTTATATTGACATTTGTTTCATTTACTGGCTCTTCTATACTTTATATTGACATTTGATTCATTTACTGGCTCTTCTATACTTTATATTGACATTTGACTGGCTTGTCTATTCTCCAGGTTTTAAGCAACATGGATTTAATGAGTTTGTCAGTGAGAGGATTGGCCCCATTAGAGATGTCCCTGATGTCAGATTTCCAGCGTAAGTGTCTGCATATTTCCTCATTGTAAATACAGTCACAGCTGTCAGTGGGCACTGATAGGAGGTGTAAAAAAAAGAGAAACACTAGACAACAAAATAAATACCAACTCAAAGTCTCCTACTTAATTTCATAAGAATCTCTGCTAACACAGACTACCCAGCCTTCTATACAGTCTGACGGTCTCTCACACAGACTACTGTCATTTATACAGTCTGAAGGTCTCTCACACAGACTACTGTCATCTATACCATCTGACGGTCTCTCACACTGACCACTGTCATCTATGCAGTCTGATGGTCTCTTACACAGACTACTGTCATTTATACAGTCTGACGGTCTCTCACACAGACTACTGTCATCTATACCATCTGACGGTCTCTCACACTGACCACTGTCATCTATACCATCTGACGGTATCTCACACTGACCACTGTCATCTATACAGTCTGACGGTCTCTCACACAGACTACTGTCATTTAAACAGTCTGACGGTCTCTCACACAGACTACTATCATCTATACCATCTGACGGTCTCTCACACAGACTACAGTCATCTATATCATTTGACGGTCTTTCACACAGACTGCTGTCATCTATACCATCTGACAGTCTCTCACACAGACTACAGTCATCTATACCATTTGATGGTCTCTCACACAGACTACAGTGATCTATACCATTTGATGGTCTCTCACACAGACTACAGTCATCTATACCATCTGACGGCCTCTCACACAGACTACAGTCATCTATACCATCTGACAGTCTCTCACACAGACTACAGTGATCTATACCATCTGACGGTCTCTCACACAGACTACAGTCATCTATACCATCTGACGGTCTCTCACACAGACTACAGTGATCTATACCATCTGACAGTCTCTCACACAGACTAAAGTCATCTATACCATCTGACAGTCTCTCACACAGACTAAAGTCATCTATACCATCTGACGGTCTCTCACACAGACTAAAGTCATCTACACAGTCTGACGGTCTCTCACACAGACTAAAGTCATCTATACCATCTGACGGCCTCTCACACAGACTACTGTCATCTATACCATCTGACGGTCTCTCACACAGACTGCTGTCATCTAAACCATTTGATGGTCTCTCACACAGACTACAGTGATCTATACCATTTGATGGTCTCTCACACAGACTACAGTCATCTATACCATCTGACGGCCTCTCAAACAGGCTACAGTCATCTATACCATCTGACAGTCTCTCACACAGACTACAGTGATCTATACCATCTGACGGTCTCTCACACAGACTACAGTCATCTATACCATCTGACGGCCTCTCACACAGACTACAGTCATCTATACCATTTGATGGTCTCTCACACAGACTGCTGTCATCTATACCATTTGATGGTCTCTCACACAGACTACTGTCATCTATACCATTTTATGGTCTCTCACACAGACTACAGTCATCTATACCATCTGACGGTCTCTCACACAGACTACAGTCATCTATACCATCTGACGGTCTCTCACACAGACTACTATCATCTATACCATCTGACGGTCTCTCACACAGACCACTGTCATCTATACCATCTGACGGTCTCTCACACAGACTGCTGTCATCTATACCATCTGACGGCCTCTCACACAGACTACAGTCATCTATACCATCTGACGGTCTCTCACACAGACTACAGTGATCTATACCATCTGACGGTCTCTTACACAGACTGCTGTCATCTATACCATCTGACGGTCTCTCACACAGACTACAGTCATCTATACCATCTGACGGTCTCTCACACAGACTACTATCATCTATACCATTTGACGGTCTCTCACACAGACTACAGTCATCTATACCATTTGACGGTCTCTCACACAGACTACTGTCATCTATACTGTCTGATAGTCTCTCACACAGACTGCTGTCATATGTAGAGTCTTATAGTCTCTCACATAGACTTTTATCATCTGTACTGTCTGACTGTCTCTCATACAGACTGTTGTCATTTATAATGTCTGATAGTCTCTCACACAGACTACAGACACACGTGACACTGTTCTGACAAATGGTAGAGTGATGTAGCTATATCCGAAACTAGATTCTCAACATGTTGTCTCACATAACACTGGTCTGACAAATGGTAGAGTGATGTAGCTATGTCTGATACTAGATTCTCAACAGGTTGACTCACATGCCACTGGTCTGACAAATGGTAGAGTGATGTAGCTATGTCTGAGACTAGATTCTCAACTCGTTGTCTCACATGACACTGGTCTGCCCAGTCAAGGAAACATGTAGAATTAGTTTGCTGTCATAAATAAACAGTAACATATATCCTCAACCTAGAACCAGTCAGACAGACACTGGAGCAGACAGATACAGCTGAGAAATATCAGATAAGTAATCTGCTCAGCGATACATACAGTAGACAAGAGATTGTAGCTAAGCTTATAGTATACAGTGACCAGTATTTGACTCCATTCTTATGCTAGTTTTTACTTGCAGGTGTGGAAGCAAACTGTATAGCCCACAGCTTCCAAAAGCCAGTATACTGATGTGCTTCTACAATGAAGCCTGGTCAACACTTCTACGAAGCATTTACAGTATTCTCCGACAGACTCCTCCAGAATTATTGCAAGAGATCATTCTGCTTGATGATAGTAGTTCTTTAGGTAAGTGCAAATGTACTCTTTCTCAAACAGTTGTAGTAGATGATATCAGCTTTCAAGGTCACTGTAGCAATGTCTATCACACCTGAACATTGTACTTACAGAAGGAAGCAGTTTAGGTAACAGTATAAACATTCATCTGTGTGAATATATCATTTTCTGTCTTCGTACTTTATACATAGTGTATTTGTCAGAGTGGTTCACTGTATTTCAGGTGCTGGAAAGTGTTTAGGGACAATACATGATCTGTCTGTAAAGGCACATGGAGTCTGAGAAAACACCCAGACATACAGCAGACAGCTGTTCTTGTAAGCGCTTTGTGGTAGACATGATTAGGGAAGAGATGAGCCCTTTAGTTTGATCTGCATAGCAGCATTGTTCACCTGTCCTGTAGTTACCACTGATAGTAGTACCCTTTCAGACATACTGGCCAGCTGGCGCTGCAGAATCAAAAGTTCAACAAATGATTCATGACAATTCCCGCTCAAGTGATGTGATTATCTGTACAGATGGCTCTGTGTTGAAGGGCAGACGAAGTGCATGGGGGTTCATAGCAAAAGCGAATGGACGTCGCTTGGTGCAACAAAACCTGGCATATGATATCACTACATCTAGTTTGAGAATGGAGGTGGAGGCAGTCACTGCTGCCTTCTGCTGGCTTGAGAAGCTGTACACACATGCCTTGATTGTAACTGACTCCCAGAGAATGTTGAGAAAGGTGGAGATAGGTATGCTGGGTGGATAGTGGCAAGCTTCTTCAGTTGAGGTCCCGGTTAGTTAGCATCCTTTGGATATTCTCTCCAGGTCATGCAGGTGTGTTGGAAAATAAGCAGGCCTATAGACTGGCTGGTTTTGCACCACTTGGTGGTGAACTGATGTATGACAAGCTAAATTTGTGAGGGCCCACTGGGAGTGAGTGAACACTGCGGAAGTGCAAATAGATCATTACAGTCTGAGGCAAATGGCGCTGCAAGGAGTTGCCAGGGGATTTGGTCAATGTTCAGCACTCAAGGAAAAGGCGAAACGGATGTACAATTTTACAGTTACTGGTGCCATCAGAATTTTAACTCTTCGCTTCCTGCTGAAGATGGAGACGGAGAGCTTATGGGAGTGTCCCGTGTGCTATGATGTTGATTCTTAATTCAACATTGGTCAGACATGTCAGACAGCAACCGTTAACAATGTCAAGCAGTTTTCAGTCAAGTTTTAGATGTTTACAGGTTGACTTTTTTTTGTACATTGTAGCTAGCAACAACAGTATTAAACATCTTTGTCTTTCAGATCACCTGGGAGAGAGAAGTTGGATGTGTACATTGTAGCTAGCAACAACAACATTAAACATCATTATCTTTCAGATCTTCTGGGAGATAAGTTGGATGTGTACATTGTAGCTAGCAACAACAATATTAAACATCATTGTCTTTCAGATCACCTGGAAGAGAAGTTGGATATGTAAATTGTAGCTAGCAACAACAATATTAAACATTATCTTTCAGATCACCTGGGAGAGAAGTTGGATGTGTACATTGTAGCTAGCAACAATATTAAACATCATTTGTCTTTCAGATCACCTGGGAGAGAAATTGGATGTGTATATTGTAGCTAGCAACAACAATATTAAACATCATTATCTTTCAGATCACCTGGGAGAGAAGTTGGATGTGTACATTGCTGAACATTTTGTCAATGTGAAGCTGATCAGAAGTCCAGCACGGCTGGGATTAATTCGGGCCAGAATGGAAGCTGCCAGACATGCCACGGGCAAGGTTGGTCATTAATTGTCAACCTCTCTCTCTTGACACTCAATGTGCATAGACCTATGGAAGAGTTATTTTAGGGTCCAGAAACGTGTAGCTCAGAAATCTGTCATATATGGATATATATAGAAAGAGGTGTCAGTTGATTTCATAATGATGTTGATGTGAGTGTTGTGGGATCTGCAGTGTGTAAGATGACCTTTCTTGTGTAGGTGCTGGTGTTCCTGGACAGTCACATTGAGGCGGGGAAGTCTTGGCTACAACCGCTGCTGGACAGAATAGCTCAGGACAGGAAGATCGTTGTGGTGCCGGTGGTGGACACCATTGAGGCGGAGACGATGGTGTACAATGCTGCTGACTTGATGCGGGGAGGCTTCACGTGGTCGCTGCTGCACAACTGGGAACCTCTTCCTGATGATGTCAAAGCTACGGTCAAGGTCACCGCAGATCCTTTCCTGTAAGATCCTAGTGTGTTCTTGTCTCTCTGAGAATCGCTGTCATTTATGTCCAGGTTGACATGTTTTTGTTCCTATGTCAAATGTAATATATGGAAACCATTGCCTACATCGTCAATCTTCTCTCATATACAGACAGTGTCAGAAAAGATATCACACCAAATGAAATGGAACTTCTCAGCCTCAAATTGTCAGTATCACAAGCGAAAAGAGAATTTTACGGCTGGAAGGACTTCATCAGCCTAGAAAGCTGATTTACACACAAGAATACACTAAATCACTTCACTAAGCTCTCTCCAAGAAAACTCCATATGGTGTGTCACATTATAGCACACAGGTAGTTACACATAAGTGCTCTGTTCTTCTTCTGACTTAAGTCTGAGTCTAAAGAACTTCGTGCACTAGTTAGGATCCTGAAATACTTTTGGTTGAGTTTTAACTAAAAATTTTGCCTGGGCAGCACCGTTAGGCTACTCTTTTCCATTTCCAAATGCCAAGGGATTTTTTTTGCTTGCTCAACAATACACACAGGCATCCTATCTTACTACCCAGAAATCAGGGGAAATTACTAGAAGTCCCCGTGAAAAAATCCCAGCCTTCACCGGGGCATGAACCTGGGACCTCCAGCACTCGAGGTGGATGCCATGCCTCAAGGCCAGTTCCCTGAAAAATTTGCCCCAGGTGAGGATCGAACTCACCACCTAAACAACAGAAGTGAAATATTTCTTAATGAATAGACGCCATGTTCACAGAAATTAGTCACATGAACAAATAGTTTTTCCACTTACCACCATCATGCTCAAGGAAAACTCCATAACATATATGAATATGAACCACTTAGTATTGTGTAAGTAAAATATACACTCAATCTGTATATTAGATCTTGTTTCAGAGAAACTCTTGGAGCATCATAACAGAGCACCATTATTTGGTAAAGGGAATTGACTTCCCGAAACAGTATATCTTCACACAAAATGAAGTTTAAATAACACTCAATTTTCCTAGAATGTTTTAGCTGTGTTCCTAAATAATATGGGGAATAGCACTAGAACTAACTGACAATGAAGAAAATCACAATTTTTCACGCATATTTACTCTCTTTGCACCAGCTGACTTTGTTATCATTGTAGACTTTGCACGAGGCAACAGGAATGCTTCGAGCAGAGTGGCAAGCTTCACTGGTAAAGGTCACGGGTAGTGAGCATACTTTGGATCTTTTCTTCAGGTGATGCCGGCGTAGTGGGTAATGAACAGCAGACAGATTGGCTGGATCTGCACCACTGACAAGGCAGATGTAGTCAAGGCCCTTTGGGAACAAGCAGCAGAAACATGGTTAATATGGCCTGGAGATAATAAGGCACCTGAATGTAACCAGAAGGTCTGGCCAGCTCACTACACAGAGGAAAGGCAAGACGGACATATAACCAGATTGTGACCAGTACCATCAGTATTGGAACTCTGTGCTGGCTGCTGAAGTTGAGGACGGAGCATGTATGGTAATGCCCTAAGTGCTGTGATGTCAATTCTTGACTCAACTCAACACAACTTTGCACAAGGCAGATATTAGGGCTATCCCTTATCAAAGTCTGACTTTAATGACTAAAACAAGTCTGCTTCACAACTTTCTCCATCTAACTTGGGATAAATTTGATGAACACGTGTTTTGTTTAAATTTGGATCTTCTAAAACCGTAAATCACACTGGCATGCATGTAGAATCCCACTCGACAGCCATATTGATTTCAATCAAACATTTAGTAATTTGGTAAACCTTGCAAACAATCTCAATTTTAGGCTTTTAACCACGTTTCTAAATGATCCTGATGGTCCACACACGTGGTATCCAACACCAAGAACTGGAGAGGAAGTTTCAATTGTGCGGTTCAGGTTTCGACACTGGTCAGTCATAAATTGAACACCTGGACACGTGGTGTGTGGATTGGGCGGCTGGGTAATAACCAGTGAGCATGTGATATGTTCCTTGGGACTGGAAGAGTTAAGGCTGTGTCAGTCTGGGGGCCAAGGTCATTTGTGGGACAAGTTCCGGCTCAATCAGCATCTGAACCTTTGACCTCTGGTCCGTCTTTGGCTACACTACGTCAGCTGTCATGTGTGCACATGCGTGTGTGTCTGTGTGTGCGCGCATGCGCAGACATACATATATGATTATTTAACTGTATGTATATTTAATAGAATTAAAATAGAAGAATAAATGAATGAATGATTGACTGAAGTGGACATAAATATGTCAATGTTGATGGAAGTTTCTGGGGTCTACATTCTACAGAAGTCCCACAATGCCTGGAGGCCTGTTTGCCATGGAACGGGACTATTTTGATGAACTTGGAGAGTATGATGCTGGCATGGACATCTGGGGAGGTGAAAATATGGAGATTTCTTTCAGGGTACGGTTGTTGGATTATTTGTACGATGATGTTTGTTGTATTGTATAGAACAAGATGGTGATAATTGTCCATGTTATTAGCTGAATTAAAATTGGCCTATGAAGGGTGACAGACTAAAGAGGGACTTTGTTTGCCCAGTCTTGCAGTCATTTCTGTGACTTTGTTTGCCCAGTCTTGCAGTCATTTCTGTGACTTTGTTTGCCCAGTCTTGCAGTCATTTCTGTGACTTTGTTTGCCCAGTCTTGCAGTCATTTCTGTGACTTTGTTTGCCCAGTCTTGCAGTCATTTGCATCCTTAATTATCTGTTTTTCAATCCTTTTTTATAATTTAATTCTTTGTTGTACAGTATAATATTCATCATCATCATGACAATCAACCCATACTCTTGTGTTGGAGTTGTGTGTTCATGTCAGTCTGCAGGCACCTGTTCTCAGCAGCTGTCTCTGACTGTGCGCTTGCAGGTTGTGTGATGTATTTGTAACCCAGGCGTCCTTTTCTCTTTGTCTTATGTGGCCCATGCCCTCTAACCTCTTGGTCCATGGACCTACACTTATCCTCGGATGTGTTCTGATGATCTGTGAGATACCTACACTTATCCTCGAACATGTTCTGATGATCTGTGAGAATGATTCTTCACGGTCAGGATTCAGTTTTTAAAAAAATTCTTCTGTATTTTGCATTAGTTTGTATCTGAGCCAACAACCAGTCCATGAAGTATCTTCCCCTTTTCTTCCTGGTCTGCAGATGTAAACATGTGTTGAAGAAGTGTGGTAGAGTCAGTAGTACACATGCAAGTTATGTATTGCATGCAAGTGTGCATGCATGCAAGTGTGCATGCGTGGGGGGGGGGGGGTAGTGGGGCATGAAAGGAAACATAAAAAGTGAACCAGGGAGCTGTCACCTGCATCTATGTTTTATTGTTTTATATATCATAGTCTACAAAGTTTGTTGTCTGTCCAGTTTTACTGTTCTGTACATCAGAGTCTACACAGTTTGTTGTTTGTCCAGTTTTACTGTTCTGTACATCAGAGTCTACACAGTTTGTTGTCTGTCCAGTTTTACCATTTTTACTGTTCTGTACATCAGTCTACACAGTTTGTTGTCTGTCCAATTTTACTGTTCTGTACATCAGAGTCTACACAGTTTGTTGTTTGTCCAGTTTTACTGTTCTGTACATCAGAGTCTACACAGTTTGTTGTTTGTCCAGTTTTACTGTTCTGTACATCAGAGTCTACACAGTTTGTTGTTTGTCCAATTTTACTGTTCTGTACATCAGAGTCTACACAGTTTGTTGTTTGTCCAGTTTTACTGTTCTGTACATCAGAGTCTACACAGTTTGTTGTCTGTCCAGTTTTACCATTTTTACTGTTCTGTACATCGGAGTCTACACAGTTTGTTGTCTGTCCAATTTTACTGTTCTGTACAGCAGAGTCTACACAGTTTGTTGTCTGTCCAGTTTCACAATTTTTACTGTTATGTACATCGGAGTCTGCACAGTTTGTTGTCTGTCCAGTTTTACCATTTTTACTGTTCTGTACATCAGAGGCTACACAGTTTGTTGTCTGTCCAGTTTTACTGTTCTGTACATCAAAGTCTACACAGTTTGTTGTTTGTCCAGTTTTACTGTTCTGTACATCAGAGTCTACACAGTTTGTTGTTGGTCCAGTTTTACTGTTCTGTACATCAGAGTCTACACAGTGTGTTGTTTGTCTAGTTTTACTGTTCTGTACATCAGAGTCTGCACAGTTTTTTGTTGGTCCAGTTTTACTGTTCTGTACATCAGAGTCTACACAGTTTGTTGTCTGTCCAGTTTTACCATTTTTACTGATCTGTACATCAGAGTACACAGTTTGTTGTCTGTCCAGTTTTACTGTTCTGTACATCAGAATCTACATAGTTTGTTGTTTGTCCAGTTTTACTGTTCTGTACATCATAGTCTACACAGTTGTCTGTCCAGTTTTACCATTTTTACTGTTCTGTACATCAGAGTCTACACAGTTTGTTGTCTGTCCAATTTTACTTTCTGTATATCAGAGTCTACACAGTTTGTTGTTTATCCAGATCTGGCAGTGTGGCGGCAGGTTGGAGATCGTACCCTGCTCTCGTGTGGGTCATGTGTTCCGTCAGTTCCGACCCTACAGCTCACCCACAGGAGAAGATACAGCCACAAGAAATGCTGCTCGCGTGGCGGAGGTTTGGTTGGATGAATATAAGGTTGGTTAATGTGTGTACTCATATAGGAGGACTGTGAATCATCATCATGTGCTGCACAGTGGGATGTAGGCAGTCATATTGCTCTGTTTTCTGGATAAATTTTACTGCTGATCCTTGTGCATAGCACTTTATCAAACCATCCAGTTTTCCCACTTTTGATTCTTGCCTAAAATTTCTGCAATTGTCTTATGTTTTCATAAGCTTCTCCAGGCCATTTTGTGTTCTGATGTGATGAACAAGTTAAAAACTGTCTTATCCTAATCATACACAGTATAGTGCCATACACAGTATAGTGCTGTCACAGTGTAGTGTTACTTATTTGAGAGGTGTCCCACTTGTTGACACAGTGTAGTGTTACTTATTTGAGAGCTGTCCCACTTGTTGACACAGTATAGTGTTACTTATCTGAGAGGTGTCCCATTTGTTGTCACAGTATAGTGTTACTTATTTGAGAGCTGTCCCATTTGTTGACACAGTATAGTGTTACTTATCTGAGAGCTGTCCCATTTGCTGTCACAGTATAGTGTTACTTATCTGAGAGCTGTCCCATTTGTTGTCACAGTATAGTGTTACTTATTTGAGAGCTGTCCCATTTGTTGTCACAGTATAGTGTTACTTATTTGAGAGCTGTCCCATTTGTTGTCACAGTATAGTGTTACTTATTTGAGAGCTGTCCCATTTGTTACAGTTAGTGTTACTTATCTGAGAGCTGTCCCATTTGTTGCCGCAGTAGTATTACTTATTTGAGTGTTACCATTATTGTGAGAGCTGTCCCCATTTGTTGTCACAGTATAGTGTTACTTATTATCTGAGAGCTGTCCCATTTGTTGTCGCAGTATAAAGTGTTACTAATTTGAGATTTGTTGTCGCAGTATTTGTTGTCGCAGTATAGTGTTACTTATCTGAGAGCTGTCCCATTTGTTGTCGCAGTGTCACTTATTTGAGAGCTGTCCCATTTGTGTTACTTATCTGAGAGCTGTCCCATTTGTTGTCGCAGTATAGTGTTACTTATTTGAGAGGTGTCCCATTTGTTGTCGCAGTATAGTGTTACTTATTTGAGAGCTGTCCCATTTGTTGTCGCAGTATAGTGTTACTTATTTGAGAGCTGTCCCATTTGTTGTCACCTTATTTGAGAGCTGTCCCATTTGTTGTCGCAGTATAGTGTTACTTATTTGAGAGCTGTCCCATTTGTTGTCACGGTAAAGTGTTACTTATTTGAGAGCTGTCCCATTTGTTGTCGCAGTATAGTGTTACTTATTTGAGAGGTGTCCCATTTGTTGTCGCAGTATAGTGTTACTTATTTGAGAGCTGTCCCATTTGTTGTCGCAGTATAGTGTTACTTATTTGAGAGCTGTCCCATTTGTTGTCACGGTAAAGTGTTACTTATTTGAGAGGTGTCCCATTTGTTGTCGCAGTATAGTGTTACTTATTTGAGAGCTGTCCCATTTGTTGTCCCTTATTGAGAGCTGTCCCATTTTGTTGTGTTACTTATCTGAGAGCTGTATTTGTTGTGTTACTAGTGTTACTTATGAGAGCTGTCCCATTTGGTATAGTGTTACTTATTGAGAGCTGTCACAGTATAGTGTTACTTATTTGAGAGGTGTCCCATTTGTTGTCACAGTACTAGTGTTACTTATTTGAGAGGTGTCCCATTTGTTGATAGTATAGTGTTACTTATTTGAGAGGTGTCCCATTTGTTGTCACAGTATAGTGTTACTTATCTGAGAGCTGTCCCATTTGTTGCCACAGGTTACGATTGGACATTGTGAAAATATGAGGTTTGTGAGAAAATCTTGTCCCAGTTGTCCAGTATAGTGTTACTTATCTGAGAGCTGTGTTGAGACGATTGGACTTGGAGAATTTTGCAAATCAAGTAGAATTTAAATCAAGTAGTTACATGTGAATATTTGTCTCTGTCACAAGCTATTTACCTGGCACTGTGTAACATGTGTACGTCATCTACTGTATCCTGTCAGGTCATTTATACAGAGTTAATGGAGAGAGAAATATTGTGGATGTCACTGGTGTGATGTCTTGTCAATCTGACTCAAGCAGTCATGAGATTGTGAGAATCGGAGAAACTGAATACGTTTTATTTGTTGTCCTTTCAATAATAGAAACATTTTTATGAACTTCGGCCAGCTGCTCGAACCATGGACTATGGTGATGTCAGTGACAGAGTCCAATTGAGGCAGAGACTGCAGTGTAAACCATTCAGGTGGTTTTTGGAGAACGTTTACCCTGAACAGGTAGATCTGATACTATCTTTTTGTACATTTACCCTGAACAGGTAGATCTGATACATTGTTTTTTTTACATCTACCCTGAACAGGTAGATCTGATACATTGGTTTTTTTTTTACATCTACCCTGAACAGGTAGATCTGATACATTGTTTTTTTTTACATCTACCCTGAACAGGAAGATCTCATACATTGTGTTTTTACATCTACCCTGAACAGGTAGATCTGATACATTGTTTTTTTTTACATCTACCCTGAACAGGTAGATCTGATACTATCATTTTTGTACATCTACCCTGAACAGGTAGATCTGATACTATTTGTTTGCACATCAACCCTGCACAGGTTAATCTGAAACTATTTGACTACATGTGTATCCTGAACAGGTATAATTGATTTTGTCTTACTTTGTGCAGATCATAGTCAATGAGAATCTTATTTTAACATTTTGACTATTCAGAATGAAACTATAGTGATTATAAACTAAGTCAAGTACAGTTGAAGAGAGAGGGTTGGGGAAGGATGACAGCTGAAATGACTGCATAACTTTGTTTACAAGCAACACCTCTATGACAATTGTTGTATGCTATTTTTTGTTTTAGTGTTGCTAGGTGTGGAGTCCAGGTGGATCTGACACTGTGCTATTTGATGCCACAGTCACACAAAAACAGTTACAGAAGTACATGAGACAGGGATGAGAACAATGTTTGGTTGTAACCTGCTGATGTTACAGTTACAGAAGTACAACAGACAGGGATGAGAACAATGTTTGATTGTAACCTACTGATGTCACAGTTACAGAAGTACAACAGACAGGAATGAGAACAATGTTTGGTTGTAACCTACTGATGTTACAGTTACAGAAGAACAACAGACAGGGATGAGAACGACAGGGATAAGAACAGTGTTTGGTTGTAACCTCCTGATGTTACAGTTACAGAAGTACAACAGACAGGGATGAGAACAATGTTTGATTGTAACCTACTGATGTTACAGTTACAGAAATACAACAGACAGGGATGAGAACAATGTTTGATTGTAACCTACTGATGTTACAGTTACAGAAGTACAACAGACATGGATGAGAACAACAACAGGATGCGAACAATGTTTGATTGTAACCTGCTGGTGCCAGGGAAATGATATAAACATGAGTGCTGTAAGTGAGATGTGTGACTGCTGCGGCCAGGTTGTCCACCAATAATGAAGGAGTCTGACGTGATAACAGGAGAGATCTCATGGCCACCACTTGTAGGTCAAGTCCAGTGCTGGAGATTACCAGTGACCACACAGTCCAGTCAGCTGTCAGTTGTAGACACCATGAGACTGATGACAACAGACAACCTCTGTGCCGTCTAGGCAGTACATTTATCTTCCAATGGAACACTTGAAAACTCCACTATGGCTGTTGTTTGATTTAAAATGAAGGGTCATCTTTATTGCATTACATTTTTTCTATAAGTGTTGCAGCGTCTTCCCTTGGGCCACACAGGATAATCTTAGCTAGATGTCCAATCCACTACCCTAAAATGTTATCAGATTCTCACAGAATCTCTGATTAGATATCCAATCCACTATTCTGTAATGTTATCAGGTTCTCACAGAATCTCTGACTAGATGTCCAATCCACTGTTCTAAAATGTTATCAGATTCTCACAGAATCTCTGACTAGATGTCCAATCCACTACTCTATAATGTTATCAGATTCTCACAGAATCTCTGACTAGATGTCCAATCCACTATTCTGTAATGTTATCAGATTCTCACAGAATCTCTGACTAAATGTCCAATCCACTGTTCTATAATGTTATCAGATTCTCACAGACTGTCTGATTAGATGTCCAATCCACTATTCTATAATGTTATCAGATTCTCACAGAATCTCTGACTAAATGTCCAATCCACTGTTCTAAAATGTTATCAGATTCTCACAGACTGTCTGACTAAATGTCTAATCCACTACTCTATAATGTTATCAGATTCTCACAGAATCTCTGACTAAATGTCCAATCCACTGTTCTATAATGTTATCAGATTCTCACAGACTGTCTGACTAGATGTCGAATCCACTATTCTATAATGTTATCAGATTATCACAGACTCTCTGACTAGATGTCCAATCCACTATTCTATAATGTTATCAGATTCTAACAGACTGTCTGACTAAATGTCCAATCCACTACTCTATAATGTTATCAGATTCTAACAGACTGTCTGACTAAATGTCCAATCCACTACTCTATAATGTTATCAGATTCTCACAGACTGTCTGACTAGATGTCTAATCCACTGTTCTATAATGTTATCAGATTATCACAGACTCTCTGACTAGATGTCCAATCCACTACTCTATAATGTTATCAGATTCTCACAGACTGTCTGACTAGATGTCTAATCCACTACTCTATAATGTTATCAGATTCTCACAGACTGCATGACCAGATGTCTGTGTCCATATACAAGGTAATTATATCACCGTTGTAACCCCCCCACCCCCCCACCTCCCAACCCCCTTGCTCCTCCCAAAAAGCCTCATTAGATGTGTTTTAAATACAATTTTCCAGAATATTCCAGGGGAAAGGGCAGGTTCCCACCAGAGACCTGTGGAAAAGAAGAAAGAAATTATTGTCAGTTCAGGCATGGTAAGTTTTCCTGCAGTTGTTATTTTGTGTCTTTCATGAATCTTGTCTTTGTCTGTTACTTGTTATGTGTTACTTCGTAGTTATATTTTATGTGTGATAGTACCTTGTTCATGCTGTTTTGAATAGGACTCACATTGAGAAAACCTCAGAACAATATAGCTAGAATGTCTTTACACTGAAACCCACAGGCACATAGAACTATAGGCACACCAAAAAACACATGGAGAAGAGAATGAGAAAGTGAGGTTAAAAATAATATGGAGGATGTAGAATGAGCTGCATGCAGTAGCAAGGGAGAGAACGATTTGGTGTGACCTGTTTGAGGGTTTATGCTCCATTGGTGGATAAAAAGCAGAAGGAGAGAGAAACTTGTTCACATGTTTGTGTTAGAGTGAGTCAGATTTGTTGTAATAACTTCCTCCTCGGGATCTGTTCACTGGAATCTCAAACAGTATCATCTGATTTTCTTTTCTGTTCATGTACACATGAGCCTCCTGTTCTGTGCTGCCAGCTCACCACTGGTTGAGTGGTCTTCTTACAGCCTGTTTGTGGCATTGTCCTACCAAGAGGAGGCAACTCAGCACCACTGGTTAAGTGGTTTTCTTACAGCCTGTTTGTGGCATTGTCCTACCAAGAGGAGGCAACTCAGCAGCACTGGTTAAGTGGTTTTCTTACAGCCTGTTTGTGGCATTGTCCTACCAAGAGGAGGCAACTCAGCAGCACTGGTTAAGTGGTTTTCTTACAGCCTGTTTGTGGCATTGTCCTACCAAGAGGAGGCAACTCAGTACCACTAGTTGAATTGTTTTCTTACAGCCTGTTTGTGGCATTATCCTACCAAGAGGAGGCAACTCAGCACCACTGGTTGAATTGTTTTCTTACAGCCTGTTTGTGGCATTGTCCTACCAAGAGGAGGCAACACAGTACCACTGGTTGAGTGGTTTTCTTACAGCCTGTTTGTGGCATTGTCCTACCAAGAGGAGGCAACTCAGCAGCATCGGGACCAAGAGTTATCCTCTCTGCAGCCCATGAAATAGTCATCACTTTACCTGATCATCATCATCATCAAGAACTTCCTGATCCTTCTGTTCCCTCATCGTTCATTTTTGGCCATCATCATTAATTCGACAAATGTCTGCCCATTTTTTTAAAATTGTGTCCCTGGTCTCTGTTCTCATTGAGAACTGTTTGTGTGTGTCTTTGTTTTCTTACCTTTATTTCATGAGGTTTCTGGTGTCAGCCCACCTCACCAATAGAAACCTGTGCTGGCATCTATAGGACCATAGCTCTCCTTTCTCTCTACCTACCACCTCACCAATAGAAACCTGTGCTGGCATCTATAGGACCATAGCTCTCCTTTCTCTCTACCTACCACCTCACCAATAGAAACCTGTGCTGGCATCTATAGGACCATAGCTCTCCTTTCTCTCTATCTACCACCTCACCAATAGAAACCTGTGCTGGCATCTATAGGACCATAGCTCTCCTTTCTCTCTACCTACCACCTCACCAATAGAAACCTGTGCTGGCATCTATAGGACCATAGCTCTCCTTTCTCTCTACCTACCACCTCACCAATAGAAACCTGTGCTTGCATCTATAGGACCATAGCTCTCCTTTCTCTCTATCTACCACCTCACCAATAGAAACCTGTGCTGGCATCTATAGGACCATAGCTCTCCTTTCTCTCTATCTACCACCTCACCAATAGAAACCTGTGCTGGCATCTATAGGACCATAGCTCTCCTTTCTCTCTATCTACCACCTCACCAGTAGAAACCTGTGCTGGCATCTATAGGACCATAGCTCTCCTTTCTCTCTACCTACCACCTCACCAGTAGAAACCTGTGCTGGCATCTATAGGACCATAGCTCTCCTTTCTCTCTATCTACCACCTCACCAATAGAAACCTGTGCTGGCATCTATAGGACCATAGCTCTCCTTTCTCTCTATCTACCACCTCACCAATAGAAACCTGTGCTGGCATCTATACGACCATAGCTCTCCTTTCTCTCTATCTACCATTTACTCAGTCATCATCTGACATCACCCCATTTATTTCGTGATGAAAATGTGACATTTTCACCATGTATGATAATACGTCAGCTGTCAGGACATGTCATGTTTGTGTTTCTCCAGCTTCGGCATCAACCGTCAGGTCTATGTGTAAAGCCAGAGCTGGATCCGCCAGCCAAGAATTCGCTCTTAGTGATGGCTGCCTGTGATAAAGCTAAGTCTCAGGTAATCTCATTTCACATTGTCAGTGACAGAGCCAAAATAACGGGTTGTGAAATCTGTAGATCTCAGTGACATTACCAAATACTGGGTTGTATAATCTGTAGATGTCAGTGACATTACCAAATACTGGGTTGTATAATCTGTAGATGTCAGAGACATTACCAAATACTGGGTTGTATAATCTGTAGATGTCAGTGACATTACCAAATACTGGGTTGTATAATCTGTAGATGTCAGTGACAGAACCAAAATAATGGGTTGTGTAATCTGTAAATGTCAGTAACATTACTAAATACTGGGTTGTGTAATCTGTAGATGTCAGTGACAGAACCAAAATAATGGGTTGTGACTGTCACTTTTAGGTCACGTCATTACTAAGCATATTATAGAGGACCGAACATTTCTAACCTAAAGTGCTTTTTCAGGTATTCTACATTTCAGTCATATGTTATCTTTCTTGACTGTTTGTCTGACTGTCTACAAGTCTCTTCATCTGTCTGTCTGTTATTGGAACTGTCTATGTGTCACTAGAACTTTATGTTTCTGAATATGTCTGTGGGTTATGTGTTATAGGAACTGTTTCTGGGCCTCTTTATGTATTATTGGAACTGTACATGTCTCTGGGCCTGTTTATGTATTATTGGAACTGTATATGTCTCTGGGCCTCTTTATGTATTATTGGAACTGTCTACATGTCTCTGGGCCTGTTTATATATTATTGGAACTGTACATGTCTCTGGGCCTGTTTATGTATTATTGGAACTGTCTACATGTCTCTGGGCCTGTTTATGTATTATTGGAACTGTCTACATGTCTCTGGGCCTGTTTATGTATTATTGGAACTGTACATGTCTCTGGGCCTGTTTATGTATTATTGGAACTGTCTACGTGTCTCTGGGCCTGTTTATGTATTATTGGAACTGTCTACATGTCTCTGGGCCTGTTTATGTGTTATTGGAACTGTCTACATGTCTCTGGGCCTGTTAATGTATTATTGGAACTGTACATGTCTCTGGGCCTGTTTATGTATTATTGGAACTGTATATGTCTCTGGGCCTGTTTATGTGTTATTCGAACTGTTTACATGTCGCTTTGCCTGTTTTTGTGTTATTGGAACTGTCTACGTGTCTCTGGGCCTGTTTATGTGTTATTGGAACTGTCTACCTGTCTCTGGGCCTGTTTATGAGTTATTGGAACTGTCTACATGTCTTTGGACCTGTTTATATGTTACTGGAACTGTCTACATGTTTCTGGGCCTGTTTATATGTTATTGGAACTGTACATGTCTCTGGGCCTGTTTATGTATTATTGGAACTGTCTACGTGTCTCTGAACGTGTCTGTTTGTTATTGGAACTGTCTACATGTCTCTAAGCCTGTTTGTGTGTTATTGGAACTGTGCACATAACTCTGGACCTGTTTATGTGTTTTTGGAACTGTCTACCTGTCTTTGGACCTGTTTATATGTTACTGGAACTGTGTACATGTTTCTGGGCCTGTTTATATGTTATTGGAACTGTCTACATGTCTTTGAACGTGTCTGTTTGTTATTGGAACTGTCTACATGTCTCTGAACGTGTCTGTTTGTTATTGGAACGGTCTACATGTCTCTGAACATGTCTGTGTGTTCCTGAAACAGTTTCTGCTGACGGACATCTATCAAGTGAAGTTGGCAGACACCAGGTTCTGCCTGGAGACTGCCGATAGTAAAGGAGATTCTACAGACATCTACCTCATGAAGTGTCACTCTAGTGGAGGCTCACAGACCTGGATTCCCAAACACTCAGAGGTCAGTGGATGTTGATATAACATGTAGATGTTACTTTCATGGGCTGGTGTTCAAACACACAGAGGTCAGGGGTTGTTTACATAGTGTACTGACTTTGCTGTGTACAGACTTTGGTTTCATGGTCTGATGTTCATGTAGCTTGAGCTGGAGGTCACTTGTAGAATCCTTGCAGCCAGGATTAGTCTCACTAGATTTCTGTTATAGAAGGTTAAATCATATTACAGAAAACAGTAGATCCATCTAATACAGCACACAGTGACAGGACAGTAGTCTAGGATGTAACATGTGTATCAGTGATGGACTCTTTACATGTGTATCAGTGATGGACTCTTAACATGTATATCAGTGATGGACTCTTTACATGTGTATCAGTGATGGACTCTACATGTGTATCAGTGATGGACTCTTTACATGTGTATCAGTGATGGACTCTTTACATGTATATCAGTGATGGACTCTTTACATGTGTATCAGTGATGGACTTTACATCTGTATCAGTGATGGACTCTTTACATGTGTATCAGTGATGGACTCTTTACATGTGTATCAGTGATGGACTCTACATGTGTATCAGTGATGGACTCTACATGTGTATCAGTGATGGACTCTACACGTGTATCAGTGATGGACTCTTTACATGTGTATCAGTGATGGACTCTACATGTGTATCAGTGATGGACTCTACATGTGTATCAGTGATGGACTCTACATGTGTATCAGTGATGGACTCTACATGTGTATCAGTGATGGACTCTACATGTGTATCAGTGATGGACTCTACACGTGTATCAGTGATGGACTCTACATGTGTATCAGTGATGGACTCTACATGTGTATCAGTTATGGACTCTACATGTGTATCAGTGATGGACTCTTTACATGTGTATCAGTGATGGACTCTTTACATGTGTATCAGTGATGGACTCTTTACATGTGTATCAGTGATGGACTCTCTACTACGATATAAAGATGTGTGCAAGCGGTACATGAATGATACAAGTATTGCAATTGACTCTTGGAAACAAAATTCCTTGGACCATGTTGTTTGGAGGGAAGAACATCAGAAAGTGAATGAGAGTGAATTAAGAAATGATAGCAGAAAGGGTGAGAGCTGAGTGTCTAAGAAGAAACAGACTTAACACAAATGTTGACAACAATGGTCCTGAAATCCTATACTATCATTGTGGATGACCATTCTTAACGTGGGCAGGTATTGCAGTGGCACACTTCATCGCCATGGGCTGTGAGACCAATACCTCATGATAACACTATTGTCTGGAAAGTCTTGCTAGTCACACACGCCATCATCATGGGCTGTGAGACCTATACCTCACGATAACACTATTGTCTGGAAAGTCTTGCTAGTCACACACGCCATCATCATGGGCTGTGAGACCTATACCTCACGATAACACTATTGTCTGGAAAGTCTTGCTAGTCACACACGCCATCATCATGGGTTGTGAGACCTATACCTCATAATAACACTATTGTCTGGAAAGTCTTGCTAGTCACACACGCCATCATCATGGGCTGTGAGACCTATACCTCATGATAACACTATTGTCTGGAAAGTCTTGCTAGTTACACACACCATCATCATGGGCTGTGAGACCTATACCTCATGATAACACTATTGTCTGGAAAGTCTTGCTAGTTACACACACCATCATCATGGGCTGTGAGACCTATACCTCATGATAACACTATTGTCTGGAAAGTCTTGCTAGTTACACACACCATCATCATGGGCTGTGAGACCTATACCTCATGATAACACTATTGTCTGGAAAGTCTTGCTAGTTACACACACCATCATCATGGGCTGTGAGACCTATACCTCATGATAACACTATTGTCTGGAAAGTCTTGCTAGTCACACACGCCATCATCATGGGCTGTGAGACCAATACCTCATGATAACACTATTGTCTGGAAAGATTGAAAGGTGACAATGATAAATCTGAGCAATACTAGTGGCAATTTCACTTTTCTTCAAATGTTTGACAATTGCCAGCTTCTTGTTTAAACCAAGCACTCACGTTTCTGCTTTTCAGCCATTTGAAAACACTTTTACACAATAATAAAATCAAATGAGATGAGGCCTTATGTTTTTTTAAAGGCTTTCACTTGAGCAGGGAAATTGAACACAGCTTCAAAATACAGAACAGTGGCACTGTTATAGTTTTATGTCACCCCCCCCCCCCTTTCCTAAAATAAAAATTTAAACAAATAATCAGGGCACTATGAAACAAACCATTTATTGGAACACATGGGCCACTCAGTCACAGCTGAGACCAGTATGTAACACTATAGCTACTGGTTAGTGATGGGTTTGTGTCACACCAGATCAAGCTCAACTTCTCTGTGGACAGTTTTAAAGATGTCTGTGTGTTTGTTGATAGTCACACATTTCTTCTTTAATAGATGATAACAAATAACAGAAACTGATGGTATAACGAGTGACAGCTAATTGAAGTTTTACTGTACTGCCAATGTACCATTGAACTGCTACAAGAACCTCTGAATATTGTCTGTGTTCCACAGGGTGGACAGCTCTTGCTATTTAACCCAGCCAGTGGAAAGTGCCTTTCTGTACCCGAGCCACACAAGGGCGGCCAGTTGAGTATGGACCTCTGCTCCAGCAGATCTGTACATGGCTTTCATGTGACGAGTCTGTAATCAGATGATAAAAGGGAATTTAAAACTGTAACAGTGTCATAGAAGCAGGTGAAGTTAACTGTGAGGGTGTGATGGAAGTTAGTGAAGTTAACTGTAAGGGTGTGATGGAAGTTAGTGAAGTTAACTGTAAGGGTGTGATGGAAGTTAGTGAAGTTAACTGTAAGGGTGTGATGGAAGTTAGTGAAGTTAACTGTAAGGGTGTGATGGAAGTTAGTGAAGTTAACTGTAAGGGTGTGATGGAAGTTAGTGAAGTTAACTGTGAGGGTGTGATGGAAGTTAGTGAAGTTAACTGTGAGGGTGTGATGGAAGTTAGTGAAGTTAACTGTAAGGGTGTGATGGAAGTTAGTGAAGTTAACTGTAAGGGTGTGATGGAAGTTAGTGAAGTTAACTGTGAGGGTGTGATGGAAGTTAGTGAAGTTAACTGTGAGGGTGTGATGGAATTTAGTGAAGTTAACTGTGAGGGTGTGATGGAAGTTAGTGAAGTTAACTGTAAGGGTGTGATGGAAGTTAGTGAAGTTAACTGTAACTTGTGATTATTGTTGAATTTTACTGTAGCAGCTTGGTGGTTGTTGATGAATTTAACTGTTACACTGTGGTTGGCGAATTTAACTGTAACACTGTGGTTGGCGAATTTAATTGTAATACTGTGATTGGCGAATTTAACTGTAACAGCAAGGTTGTTGTGACAGTATGGTGGTTGTTTGTAAATTTCTTAGAACCATACTGCTTGTCTCCCCACAGACTTCAAGGACAACCATACTGCTTGTCTCCCCACTGACTTCAAGGACAACCATACTGCTTGTCTCCCCACAGACTTCAAGGACAACTATACTGCTTGTCTCCCCACTGACTTCAAGGACAACCATACTGCTTGTCTCCCCACAGACTTCAAGGACAACTATACTGCTTGTCTCCCCACAGACTTCAAGGACAACCATACTGCTTGTCTCTCCACTGACTTCTCTGACAACCATACTGCTTGTCTCCCCACTGACTTCTAGGACAACCATACTGCTTGTCTCTCCACTGACTTCTCTGACAACCATACTGCTTGTCTCCCCACTGACTTCTAGGACAACCATACTGCTTGTCTCCCCACTGACTTCTAGGACATCTATACTGCTTGTCTCCCCACTGACTTCTCTGACAACCATACTGCTTGTCTCCCCACTGACTTCTCTGACAACCATACTGCTTGTCTCCCCACTGACTTCTAGGACATCTATTCTGCTTGTCTCCCCACTGACTTCTCTGACAACCATACTGCTTGTCTCCCCACTGACTTCTCTGACAACCATACTGCTTGTCTCCCCACTGACTTCTCTGACAACCATATGCTTGTCTCCCCACTGACTTCTCTGACAACCATACTGCTTGTCTCCCCACTGACTTCTCTGACAACCATACTGCTTGTCTCCCCACTGACTTCTCTGACAACCATACTGCTTGTCTCCCCACTGACTTCTAGGACATCTATACTGCTTGTCTCCCCACTGACTTCTCTGACAACCATACTGCTTGTCTCCCCACTGACTTCTAAGACAACCATATGCTTGTCTCCCCACTGACTTCTAGGACAACTATATGCTTGTCTCCCCACTGACTTCTAGGACAACCATACTGCTTGTCTCACCACTGACTTCTAGGACAACCATACTGCTTGTCTCCCCACTGACTTCTATGACAACCATACTGCTTGTCTACCCACTGACTTCTCTGACAACCATACTGCTTGTCTCCCCACTGACTTCTCTGACAACCATACTGCTTGTCTCCCCACTGACATCTCTGACAACCATACTGCTTGTCTCCCCACTGACTTCTCTGACAACCATACTGCTTGTCTCCCCACTGACTTCTCTGACAACCATACTGCTTGTCTCCCCACTGACTTCTCTGACAACCATACTGCTTGTCTCCCCACTGACTTCTAGGACAACCATACTGCTTGTCTCCCCACTGACTTCTATGACAACCATACTGCTTGTCTCCCGTGACTTCTCTGACAACCATACTGCTTGTCTCCCCACTGACTTCTCTGACAACCATACTGCTTGTCTCCCCAGTGACTTCTCTGACAACCATACTGCTTGTCTCTCCACTGACTTCTCTGACAACCATACTGCTTGTCTCCCCACTGACTTCTAGGACAACCATACTGCTTGTCTCCCCACTGACTTCTAGGACATCTATACTGCTTGTCTCCCCACTGACTTCTAGGACAACCATATGCTTGTCTCCCCACTGACTTCTAGGACAACCATATGCTTGTCTCCCCAGTGACTTTTAGGACATCTATACTGCTTGTCTCCCCACTGACTTCTAGGACAACCATACTGTTTGTCTCCCCACTGACTTCTAGGACAACCATACTGCTTGTCTCCCCACTGACTTCTAGGACAACTATATGCTTGTCTCCCCAGTGACTTTTAGGACAACCATACTGCTTGTCTCCCCACTGACTTCTAGGACAACCATACTGCTTGTCTTCCCCCTGACTTCTAGGACAACCATACTGCTTGTCTCCCCACTGACTTCTTTGAAAACCATACTGCTTGTCTCCCCCCTGACTTCTAGGACAACCATATGCTTGTCTCCCCAGTGACATTTAGGACAACCATACTGCTTGTCTCCCCACTGACTTCTAGGACAACCATACTGCTTGTCTCCCCACTGACTTCTAGGACAACCATATGCTTGTCTCCCCAGTGACTTTTAGGACAACCATACTGCTTGTCTCCCCACTGACTTCTAGGACAACCATACTGCTTGTGTCCCCCCTGACTTCTAGGACAACCATACTACTTGTCTCCCTCCTGACTTCTAGGACAACCATACTGCTTGTCTCCCCACTGACTTCTAAGACAACCATACTGCTTGTCTCCCCGCTGACTTCTAGGACAACCATACTGCTTGTCTCCCCACTGACTTCTAGGACATGTGATTGGACCCCTGCTGGCAGGCCCTCCTACGGTGACCGATGTGGCAGTCTTCACACTGCTGCATATTTTAAATGTCAAAGATTGTGATTTTATATCATATAATAATTTTGTCCTGCAGTGTTCACATGCAATTGTTCTGAAGTTCTTAACATGTGTAATGTAATTGTTGTATAATTGTTACCATGGGGATGATCTCATGTAATTGTTGTATAATTGTTACCAGGTGATGTTCTCATGTAATTGTTGTATAATTGTTACCAGGTGATGTCCTCATGTAATTGTTGTATAATTGTTACCATTGGATGTTCTCATGTAATTGCTGTATAGTTGTTACCAGGTGATGTTCTCATGTAATTGTTGTATAATTGTTACCATGTGATGTTCTCATTTAATTGTTGTATAATTGTTACCAGGTGATGTTCTCATATAATTGTTGTATAATTGTTACCAGGTGATGCTCTCATGTAATTGTCATATAATTGTTACCAGGGGATGTTCTCATGTAATTGCTGTATAATTGTTACCAGGGGATTTTCTCATGTAATTGCTGTATAATTGTTACCAGGTGATGTTCTCATGTAATTGTTGTATAATTGTGACCAGGTGATGTTTTCATGTAATTGCTGTATAATTGTTACCAGGCGATGTTCTCATGTAATTGTTGTATAATTGTTACCAGGTGATGTTCTCATGTAATTGCTGTATAATTGTTACCAGGTGATGTTTTCATGTAATTGCTGTATAATTGTTACCAGGGGATGTTCTCATGTAATTGTTGTATAATTGTTACCAGGGGATGTTCTCATGTAATTGCTGTATAATTGTTACCAGGTGATGTTTTCATGTAATTGTTGTATAATTGTTACCAGGTGATGTTTTCATGTAATTGTTGTATAATTGTTACCAGGTGATGTTCTCATGTAATTGTTGCATAATTGTTACCAGGGGGATGATCTCATGTAATTGTTGTATAATTGTTCCCAGGGGGATGTTCTTATGTAATTGTTGTATAATTGCTACCAGGTGATGTTCTCATGTAATTGTTGTATAATTGCTACCAGGGGGATGTTCTCATGTATCTGTTGTATAATTGTTACCAGGTGATCTTCTCATGTAATTGTTGTATAATTGTTAGCAGGAGATATTCTCATGTAATTGTTGTATAATTGTTACCTGAGGGTGTTTTCATTGTTCTATAATTGTTACCAGAGAATGTTCTCATATAATTGTTGTATAATTGTTACCAGATAATGTTCTCATATAATGTTTCTGTGATTGTTACCAGGGGGATGTTCCCATGTAATTGTTCTATAATTGTTACAGAGCTATTGTCATGTAATTGTTCTATCATTGTTACAGAGCTATTGTCATGTAATTGTTCTATTACTGTTACAGAGCTATTGTCATGTAATTGTTCTATCATTGTTACAGAGCTATTGTCATGTAATTGTTCTATCATTGTTACAGAGCTATTGTCATGTAATTGTTCTATCATTGTTACAGAGCTATTGTCATGTATCATTGTTCTATCATTGTTACAGAGAGATATTGTCATGTAATTGTTCTATCATTGTTACAGAGATATTGTCATGTAATTGTTCTATCATTGTTACAGAGCTATTGTCATGTAATTGTTCTATCATTGTTACAGAGCTATTGTCATGTAATTGTTCTATCATTGTTACAGAGCTATTGTCATGTTATTGTTCTATCATTGTTACAGAGATATTGTCATGTAATTGTTCTATCATTGTTACAGAGATATTGTCATGTAATTGTTCTATCATTGTTACAGAGCTATTGTAATGTAATTGTTCTATCATTGTTACAGAGCTATTGTCATGTAATTGTTCCACATTGTTACAGAGCTATTGTCATGTAATTGTTCTATCATTGTTACAGAGCTATTGTCATGTTATTGTTCTATCATTGTTACAGAGCTATTGTCATGTAATTGTTCTATCATTGTTACAGAGATATTGTCATGTAATTGATCTATCATTGTTACAGAGCTATTGTCATGTAATTGATCTATCATTGTTACAGAGCTATTGTCAT